GCTGACTTTTAAAGCCCCTTCTTGTGCTACTATCCCTTACATGGTTTTCAAGCAGTGTTAAGCAGGATAGATGAATTCATAATGCAGTACCTCTTTCTACCTTTTTTTTAAAGCTGATTTGATCTCTTCTTCAAATATTAGATCAAAGACTTTTTTTTCTCAGATTCACCCCAATGATGAGAAAAAACAAGTCCATCCAAATGTATAATTTTTAAAGGGAGCACAGCCAGCCCGTGGGACATCCATTTTGAGAAAGATAAAGCACTTCAGAGAAATGATTGAGGATTACATGTCCTTTTGTTGTTCAGTGCCTTGTCCAATATGCTATTCTTTCATCTGCAAGCTTTGAGGACAGGAGAGAGAAATCAATAGTCCCAATTCTGCAGCGCTTTGTAAGTTGTCAGTTTGTAACCTTAATGTTCAATAAAATTAAAAATAAAGCATTTACCTTACTATACTGGTTGTATCAAATTTAACCTGGGTTTAAGGATGTTCCTTTTTGATCTATATATTTATGAAAATATCTGTATATATCCTTTTCGGTCTGAATATTGCTGCAGAACATGACTGCTTTTTGTTACCCCAATGAACACTGCTTCTAATTCTACTGATTTACAGCATTTTTTCCAATTATTTGCTTCTAATGTGAAGGCGACTTCTAAGAATTATTCATCTGTCTGAATAAGCGGTGATTTTCAACTGGATTATAAATGTTTACATTTTGCAATTACCACAGAAATGGTTATTTTTAATTTTGAGTGGGGAGCTGTGTCAGCATAGGAGCTGCCAAAGAACAAGTACTGAGGTTAATTCCACACTAACGGTGAGAGAGGAAAAACAAAAGAAAACGGATTGTGAGAAAGTGTCCAAAGAAATGGAAATCTAGGAGAAGAATTCCAGGGGAAGTGTGAAAATCAAAATCTTGAAATGGATGTCAGTCTTTTGAAAGCTGGGGGAAGGTGTAAAGCTAGTTTAAGGATTGGATGCCACATTTGTCTTTCTGGAGTAAGAGTACTGGAATTAATGTAAAAAGATGCAGATAATTCAGTACGGTAAACTGCAATTAATGGGTTGCAAGAACAAAGCCAATAGAAGAAAAATAAATTTCTGCTGAAACATTTGTACACTTGGCATGTAAAAAGATGGCGACACTTGGTTATGAAACCCAACCTGTAGCTGCATCATTCTCTTTTATGAAGTGTTTTAGTTTTACAAATGTTTTTCTAATTTTTTTTTCTGTGTACGTTGTTTTTCAATGAAAAGGTTAAAAGGAAAAAAATGAGAATTTATTCTGACCCTCACTGCTCTAAATGCGTCAGCCTGGTGTCTTCCTGTCCGAGGGACTATACAATAAAGGCTTCAGAGTATGTTCAGGTGTGTTAAAATGTGTATGCAACATTGCAGAAATATGTTCCCTGTATTGCGCTATTTAGTACATTCTCTGAATTCTGTTTTAAAAAGGTCTTGCTGATTCTGCAAACGCATGTAAAGACCTTTTTTTAGAACAGATTTGATGTTTTCTTAGATGAGGAGGCATTTACCTTGGTTCTGTCTCATTAACAACATAGTGAAGAAAGCTGAGCAGAGCTTTGAAAACAACTTGTTCCTCAGCAAAGCTGGACAGAGGGCTTCGCACCAGTATGACAATAACCGGCCTCATTATTGCTCTTCCATGTAAATGGAGCTGAAACAGATGGTTATCACAAATGTAATTTTAGAAACTGTTTTTCTTTGTTTTATTGCTTATGAAAGGATGGTGTCATCTATTATTAAAGCTGCCTGTCATCTGTCCATTCCAATAATTGCAGGTGGCACAACGTGGCTCTTATCAGTTTGGACTCACTAGAGCTGTGCAAGACTTTTGCCATCTGTTACTCTTTGGAGACTTCTTTTGCAAGAAAAAAACCAAAGAACTATAGATGCCAGAAATAACTCTACTCTTGATTCTAGCATTTTGCTATTTCTGCTCAGACCAGTAATGAGAACACTGAGCTTTATAAATATTGTTTCATATAAGCCAGATTGCTTATATGAAAAATGCTAGCATATGTGAGGAAATTATCAAGTGAAGCTGCTAAAATGTTTACAGTTGGTGATGAGTTAAATGCTTTTTTTCTTGATATTGCATCTGGCACCACAATGGAGAGCATTATTATATGCAGACTTCATTTATATAAATAACCTTTACCTTCTGCTGCTGTATTAGTAACACCTCAGTGATGTTGTGCTGGACTAGATCTGTTACTGTGGCACCATCACATCAAATGCTTTGTCATGCAGTAGTATGGTGCTGTGATTGCTGTTTCCTGTGTGTTTAATAACCGTTAAAGGTTAAATAAAAAAACGTAATTACCTGATTTTCTTTTTTATCCTTCTTTTACCATTTTTGTTTGTGTCTGCAAAACACCTAAAAAATCAAATGCAACGTTGCGTGGGTGGGCTATGCTGGCTGGGAATCTTGAGGTTTCCTTCATAATGGGAGAGGTCTTGACCTGTGATGTCAAGGTCTCCCATTACCAAAGAATCCCCTCTGTTTCAGAATAGCCCTGTGGTCTGTGCCTTCCCATACGCAGTCCTCTCTGTTCATTTTCCATTTTCCCAGGAGATTAGTTCAGGCAATTATCTGCTTTCCAACTGCCTGCATAACCAACAAGGTGGTGTCCCCCCCCCTCCACACTTGTCTTAAATGGCACGGTGGCATGACAGAGTTTGAGGGTCTGAGGTTTGTTTCCAGCCTTGGGTCTGTTTTGAGAATCTGCATGTTTTCTCTGTTTGTGTGGGGTTTGGGTAGTCCGGTTCCACGTGCCTCGCACTCTGGGTTTGATTGCCAGTTCAAAATTGTCCCTTTTCTTCATGGCCCTGTGATGTTGTCATCCTGTCCAGGGGAGAGCAGTAATGTGCTTCCTGTCCATCCTTGCACTCCTGGGTGCTCTGTGCTCATCTTTAGTTTGCTCAATCCTTGAATCTAGGATTGAAAAGCATACAGTCCCAGACAACATGACCATATTTGGCGCAAAAGCTGTATGAATCAGAATGTACATTTTTTTTATTGAGATACACAGGCTTCTTTTGTGGGACATTAGTCAGGCATGCAAAGCGTTGCTTTAGTCTGTTAAATTTTGGGTCTCAGCGCTTTTAGTTATGCTCTCTGTTTTTGTAGGCCTATTTCAGCTGTCGCTTCAGTGATCAAGACCCCTTGGGCCTTATAGTTGCCACATTAATTTTGCAGTAATGATTTATATTCCACAATACATCTGTCTTTATTTCAGAAGATGGCAAATGTCTGTCTTCCAAAGAGCTTTAGTTGTAATAGTGATGACTGTAACAGCATAGGCATTCTTGTTCTGATCCTGCTAAATCCCACCAATGACAGAATAGCAATGCTTGAGTGTTGATGGCCTCTTTGTTATTGTTTCTGCTTGGTGGTGTTATTATATTAGTATTTTCTAATGTGGGGGAATTCACTTTAGAATGTATCATTAAAAACCCTAACTTTTTTTTTATTCATACCTCGGGTCAGAATGTGTTTGACATCGGGGGAAAAAAATAACCCGCACTGAACTTCTTTATAATTAACATTGCAATTAGATAAGATAACGATTAATGCGAACAGACTGCACAATCAGTTAAGTATGAAAATTGCATAAGGAGCACATCTTACAAGCATATGAACACAGCAGAGATTGAATAGCTCACACAACATTATGACTGATCTTTACTGTTATTGCACTTCACTGTTGAAATATGCCAACATTATCGGTGTTAATGTTAAAATGTCTCTGGCAAGTTTGGTTACAGTAGTGTATGCTGACTTAAATATCTTGCTGGCCTGTGAACCAGATCTCTGCTTCATGAGATCTGAACCCTGGTTGATTCAGAAAAAAACTTTCTAAGGTTACACAAAAGAACATCATGTTCATTGTACTTTTCTGGGAAATGTGGCAAGGGTGAAAGCATTAGAAAACTTAGAAATTACCTTTGCTTAATGGTTTAGGAATGCTTGAAAGCAAGACCTATAAAACGGGGACAACTGTAGATGTTGGCACCCATATTGTATACATTACAGCAGTGTGCTAGCAACTGTGTGTAATTTTCTTTGCTGGTTAGCACTGGAGCCTGAAAGGAAACCTCAGGTTTCCTGTGAAAATGCCTTGAACAGGGACGTGTTACTGTTTAGCCCACTGTCTGCCAAGTGCAGGGACTGAAAAGGCCCTTTTTTGCACAGTCTGTTTTGATTACTGTTTTATAAAGAATGTTAGGAGCCTTTTCTTTTGGCTAAACACATGAGGCCTTTTTTCACTGCTGTCTGTGTTCCAGTTATTCCAACCTGCTTGTTACCAAATGCCAGTTAAGTGTTTGTGCAAATAGATTATTCCCTGGAGATCTTGGACAGCGGACACAAGTAGGGAGGTATTCTTTCATTTCAGAAGTCCACCTTTACCCTATGTCTTGTCCACCACTGCATGGTTCTTAGATAAAAAGAAAGGTCTGTACTATAGGGCTTTTCTTAAATGTGCAGTTCTGTGCCACATTTGAACAAGGGAAGGTTTCACGGTATGGGAGAGTTTTTCTTTTCATGAGAACTAATGTCACAACAAACACTGCATGACTCATTTTGTCTAGTTCATTGTGGTACAAGAGCATTTAAATTATATTCTGAATATATATGCCGGTGTGTGAAAGTCATGGTTCTGCTGGGGACATTGGTTTTCTCCCAAGTTTTTAGGACATGCTAGCTAGGTTAATTGGAGTCTCTAAATTGCTCTTGTGCCCTGTAACGGACTGGTCTTCCATTTAGGGTTTAATCTTGTCTTGCATCTTGCACCTCTTCTGGGGTAGGATCCATTTTGCCATGGCCCCTACTACAAATAAGACTTTCTGATAATAAACAGATGTAAGTTGACATGATTGGTTGCAGAATCATAGAATTGCTCTTCAGATATGACATTTGGCGGCAAAGGAGAATCCCAAAAGTAATTTTCCTCTTTTTCTCTTTCCAGCGGAGCCTCTTCCCCTAATGGACTTGTGCCGGAGATCAATTCGCCTAGCCCTTGGCAGAGATCGACTGCATGAAATAGAAACGCTACCCCTTCCTCAGTCTTTGAAAAACTATTTACAATACCAGTAAATGAGGAACACTTCTGGACCTGGCTGGACAAAATCAATGCAAACAGCGGAAGCTATTGTTTACATTGAGAGATGCGTCTCTGTGGTGGACACTTGAGTTTTATTTAATATATTGTTATTCTTAATCAATATGGGCAGAGCTCTACAGAACTGTATAGGAACTAATGCAGGAGACAGATGCACCAACCCCCCTTGAACGTTGTTTACATGATCAGAAAAGACAGTAACCTTGGGATGTCTACTTTCTTAAATATCGAGCCTTGTCACACCCTCTATAGCCTTCTACAAGGCTTTAAGTACTATTGCTAAGTAGTCATTCTATTTAAAAATGAGGGTCCAATCAATTGCAAGAGTCTATTAAGTGTGAAGTATTAGCTAGGTCCAATACAGTATAATTTGGTATTTGTTTGAATTTAGCATAAGCCTGGCTAAACAAATTATGGCAATTCCAACTTAATTTCAAGTTCCCTGGAAGTTCTGCATGACCATGTGTCATTGAGCTCTTTGCTAAAGTGAAACTTTTTAAACTAATCACCTTTTCAAAGCTTACGTCACTTTTTTTTATTTCAAACAAAATTTAATTTGTACCTTTTAAACTCTTAATGTATGTGTGATTTCTAATGTTTATTTATCTATCCAGACGATTTCTTCTTTATTTAAGCTGTTATCCAGGTAAAAGACCTGGCTGAGATCTGAAAAAAGATTTTTCTTTTTTTAACAAGATGCTGCTTTTCCTTTTTTTCTAATATTAAAAGTTATCTGCCTGATCAGTTATCTAGTTTGTGACTGGAAATTGTTGAAATGGCAGGAAGTCGAATGTATGGACAATGCTGCCCTTAGCATATTTAATGTGAATAAAACAAGAATGAAGGAGACTTTTCTAATAATGTTTACTGCTCACTTTGCAATGACAGTTTTGCACTGGATTGACTTTGCATCATGGGATTGTGAATCTGACTTCATAAAAACATTTGAATAATCCTCGTATATGTTTAATACAAAAGCATACCCATTGGGTGCTTAGTTCTTTTTAGTTAGTTTATATTTATTATGAATTATAGAATGGCCACTCAGCTTTCAATAGAAAGAAGTCTCAAAAAGGCAGTCTAATAATCTTTCTTCAAGATGCACACAACCTGGCTTCCAAAAAGATTCACAACAACAAGTGATAACATCAGTCAACTTCAAAGATGTTTAATGACTCATTATTACTTGGATTAAAGGCAGCAGCCCTCTTTCCAAGAGTATTCCACAAATCTGTGCTTTAAAATCAGAAACTCAACAACTTTGGTAACTTTCAATGACTCTTATGACTGCATAGTGCTGTAATTCTTCTGCATATGACTGCAGAAGCACTTGAATACCAGACATTTCCATTCTGGTAATATTCCAGATAGTCTCATCTCAGGGTCCCTGTTGGGCATCAAATTCTTAATGTACAGTTTCTTCAGACCTGACATTTTATCTCCTCTCTACTTTAGGAAATTACTTTCTCCTTTCCTTTAAATAATGCGTCTTGAGAGAGCTGCTATAGTTGAATACATTTTAAAATTAATCAAGATTGCAGTCCATTTTTACCTGCAAGCAGCTTATTTAATTTGCATTTGCTTCCATTGGAAGTAAATGTATTTCGCAGCTTCACAGTGTGGGTGATAGTTATTGAGTGAAACGCACACTGGTATGTTACTTAAAGTCCTGTCGTTCCATACTCTTTCCATTAGATCGTGACTGAGCCCTGGTCTGTGTACACCACAGTCCTTCCTGAATGTCCATACATAATTTCATTTGCAAAAAAACATTTAAATTGGGTCAATCTGCTGTACACGGGACGTTTTTCTAGCACTTGTAAGAAATGATATCTGAACACAGATTGGGGTCGCAGCCATGATGTGGGGTAAGACTTTTGATCTATGTGCTTTAAAGTATTTTACATGGTGTGCATGGTTTAACATGCCATCAGTGCTGATATCATTACCTAACAGTGTCTTTAGCATTAAAAGGTCATTAGAAAGTAAAACTACATTCACAATAAAATGTAAGGAATGATATCTGTATTAATTGGAAGAGAAGGGAGCGTAAAGTTTCAGAAAATAATAAAGAACGTTGTTTTGTGCACACAAGCTATCAGTAGGGGCAGATTAGCAGGACTTCCCCTGCTAATGGCTTTCTGTACGCAACACAGGTAACTGATGCCAGATGCAAGTTGTTTTAGAACTGGCTTCAGAGGGTTTTTGAATTCTTCCATTTAGCTCGACAGCTTAAATTTCTCACCCCATGTCGTGTCACTGGCCGACTGTTGTGTGGCTGGCTCAGCACCTTCAGTGCTAGTGCTAGTGCCGAGATTACCTGGCCAGGGCTCTCTCAGCTCCCATGGAAATGGTGACACCTGCCTCTTCCTGGACGCCTGGCATTGATGAGGAACACGCCTCTCCTCTAGTTGGAGCTTGAACCTTCTGTATGTCCCTGGAGACCTGAAACAATATCCGAAGATAACTTGCTAGATAAGTGGGCATGTTGGAAGAGTATGTCTGCACTGACATCATCTTTTATCCTCCTTTTCAAACTGAATGCATTCATTCCAATAGGTGCGATGTGACCAACATGACTGAAATGATTCAAAGTTGGCTAAGGTTGCTAAACAATACTAAAAATTGAGAGGTGGAACAAAGTTGTTTAAGCTAATGACTCAACTCCTCAATGACTCCTAATTATATGTTAGTAGTGTGACTTTGTATTAATCACTCTGCACCTTGACACAGTTTCATCTTCTGAAGCAATGTTTTTCCTGCTGTTACTCTACTGTTGTTGCCAGTAGGGAATCTGCTGTTTTGCAGTATGTGTGTGTAGCTCAAAGCAATGTGGCAAGTTACTGATGTTCAGAAAGAAGAAACCTACAACATTTGGGCTCTCTTTTCTGTAAAGATAGAAGAACAACAGTAAAAAATAAAACGTAGGGGATTTCCTAATAGAAAGAATTGACCTCAATGGGTTGTATAATTCATGATATTGAAGAGGTATTGTGGGCAAATTTATGAAGTGACAAGTGTTTGCGTGTCTGGCTGTGAAACTCTGGAGAGTGGCAGAGGGCAATTATGGATGCATTTGGAATTGTTTTTATTTTAAAAAACTGTAAATAGTCACAGCAAGTCAATTTTCAATGCTTCGTACTGTGTTTAGGCTCCACTTATGCTACCTCACGCAGAAAGTGTGCATTATTGTCCTTATATTTGTTACATTTACTTTCTTGGTCATTAACAAAGATGGTACAAGATGCACCTGAAAAATTGTTCACAGCACAAAGGAAAACTTCAAATTTTTAGCAATACGAAACAGTAAATCAAATATTTGAGTAAACTGAAGTCTCAGTCGCTAAAACTAAGCTGTCAAACCTGTAAATTAATGTCATAGCTGTTGATTCAAGTTATTTAAAAAAGTTTTACAGCTTTGCAAAATCTTTTCTAGGTTGAAAAACTGGGTGTTCTGAATTGAGGTACACTAACTGGTTTTAGTAACACAAATCTGAAAAAGGTGAATATTAAGATAAATGCACAATATTTTCTAATGTTAATATGAAAAATATATGCCTATGCATAGGTGGTGATGCTTGGTATCTAGAA